GCATTACCTTTGTTGATCGTATAGCTATCTGACATGTAGCCAGTAGTGTCTCCATATTTATTCGGCGTCATCCTTCCTTCRTCGGCCGAYGAATACCCTCCCCTCGGAGGGTACCCACGGGGAGATCTGTAATCATCAACCGAAGACTGTGAGCCYGCAGGCCCTCTTTTTGGCGAGCGGTAATCCTCAACAGAAGACGTCGACCCAGGTCCTCTCTGTCCATTACGATATTCGTCCCCAGGGGCATACCGTTTGGTGGGTGTCCCAGGCCCTTCGCCGTTTAAGGCTTTGGCTCCATATGAAAATCGTTCAATCTCGGTATGCTCGGTCCCAGGATCGTATTCGTCCTGAACGACTCGGCCGTCTATGGTTCGGACGGTTCGTACTTCCGTTCTCGTGACAACCTTTTTGACGGTTTGTCCACGTCCTGATGATAGGTCTGAAAGAAAATTAGAYTGAYGACATGACCTTAAAAAAGTGAATTTTTGGTGGRTTTTAGTGTTTGCATTTAACCACTGGTCTTAGCTTAGACCTAACCGGCTATAAACGTTTCCACCTGATTCAAACCACCCGGGAGTAAGTTTCATTGTTCTTTGTATTTTCATTTCAAAGTTGAATTCTCAGAAACAAAAGTTCTTTTTCCCACACGGTTTGAATTGGATGGTAACGTACATAGCAACGCGTTAGCCGATTAGGTTTGTGACGTCATCTTTCCGACCCTAACAACMTTTTTGTCAAATATGCACTATACTGTTTAAAGTTAATGCAAAGTTAATGTACCGGCGTCCATTAGTTCTCGTTCCCAGTCTTGACTGACTAGTGAGTTCGATTGACCAGTGACTTCTTGAGGTTCCATTTTATTCTTTCTTGAGTAAAGCGGGTCTTGATCGTCTCTGAAAGAATCAAAGAACATTAGAGTAAAGTTTCTTTTCATCCCAAGGGGTGAGGGGGTACTTGTCCTCCCAATGAGGGAGGGGGAACCTTTCCTCCCAAAGKGGAAGGGGGTTGGCTAAAGAGRGTTTCACGTGATATTTTAGTGTGTTCATAGAAWTCAGAAGCTTTTACGTCATATACCGTATACGCAGCGCATTGTGGGATATTTTGGGACAAAACATGGCGGATTTCTTTTATTTTCTGCACAAACTGATCCCACAATTCAATGCAACTCAAGTAGGTGACGTAAAATCTTCAGAAGTCTATTTTAAGAACTTCCGATTGTCAATTAAGGTCCTATAAGGTTTTTAGATTTGCTTAAAACGCCAAAATTCACATGTGCTAACTTTAATTCTAATAACAAGATCGTTTACACTAAAACCACGAAAAACTTTAGTACTAAAATAGTGCTAAATTGTACAGAATCATTCGAATTCCTTTGTTTCTATTGTCAAATTTACACTATATTGCACTATTTAGCACTATTTGGTTAGGCGTTCAGTGTTTGCACTCTAAAAACAAAGATATTTGAGTATAAATTCATATTGAATGCGTCACATGTAAAAATCGACGTATACGTTATTACACCAAAACGATCATCGTTTTCTTTTCAAAATTATCCGTATGGAAAAATATGAATTTCGAAAATAGAATAGTATATACATGTCCATTTTACAAGCAGAAGTGTCTATTTTTGTGTTACACAGGTACCTGTTTTTTGAGTGGTGTGTTTGTTAGAGGTGTTCGCTACGTACATCAAAGCCGGGTGCAACAYTGTCTAATATAAGGGTCTCGGTTTGTAGATAATATCTCTACAAACAGGCGCTAGATTAAAGAGCTATTTAAATCTAAAACAGTCAAAGTGTCGTGACTAATATGTAATGAAGTGTCAAACACCGGAAATTAAAAAAAAGAGAAAAGAAAAACCACATCGTATGTATTTTGACCTTCTAAAATAAAACACTACATTGACTTCGAAGTGTGCGGATAAAGAAACAATAAAAAGGAATCACGTTTGTGATCTGAAAATTTTGAAAAGAAACGGAAACAAATATCATGCTTCACTATAAACCGTGAAACAAAGCGTAATTGAGTCAGAAAATCCGTGAAATAGATATTACACTAATACACCTTAGTACGCTCTATAATTGCATTGTTTTCTTTTGTGTCTATTTGACTATCACACTTTAATAGTCAAATTTTGTTTCACGGTCTATAGTGAAGCCAAAAAAACCGTGAAATAGATATTACACTAATACACCTTATAGTACGCTCTAATTGCATTGTTTTCTTTTGTGTCTATTTGACTATCTTACTTTAATAGTCAAATTTCTCGAGTTCACTGTTGCAAGCAGGGCAGTAGTTTTGCGAAGGCGTTGTTAGTGTTACATGTGTATATAAATTACATACACAGAGTTACTTTAAGTGGGAGGTTGTGAATCTAAATCTTCAGTTAAAGCAATAATATTATAGTTATTTTGTATTTATMAGGGAATGGATTGATTATGAACCCTACATATTCTACAACAAGGTCGTTATTCACTGGAATTCTCTCCTTGTATGTAAACAAGTTAACCCTAGTCGGGAACCTTTTGCCCGAACAACGTAATAAGATACAAGCGTTTCTAGTCTTGTAATATCAATAGTCACAAATACTATGTATTTAGTAGTGCCATATTGAACAATTGCTCGCGTAGAATCGAAAATACTATCAATTATCTMAAACTGTACTACATGACGAACAAGAAGACGAATTCGCAACGTTTAGGCCATTTCTAGGATCAAAGTGGCACAATGTTTACAATTTCATATCCGCCAAGATCAATTTGATGKTAAAAGGCGCCAGAGACCAGCTATTTTGCTAGATATCAAAGCTTTGGTGGTTTCTTTATACTTATCTTACATTAGGAAGAATATCTTTTCATTGCGCTCCTAAAAACTTAATGGCTTCAAAATTGATACTAGATTCCTAGGATTGCCACAAAGCAAGGAAATCACACAGACCAACTGACTACAAACCCATTTATCGTTGCCAAAACCAAAGAGAAACCAAATTGAAGTGGTAATCCTGCTTGTTTTGCACGGTTGTTTCACACTGTCTGTGTTATTGAGTGGTGGAATTCTTTGCTGTTTTGTTTAATTTAGTTAGTGCGAACGTACATGTTAATAACATTAAGCGTAAACACAACAATGAGGATAATGATTGGTAAGTTGTTGAAATGAGCAGAGAGTGGCGGCATGGCGCAGGTGGCTTATTGTAAACATTMAAAAATGTAATCCATATCTTCGTAAATCGTAATTGACTGAACGCACTTTTGCCAAGTGATTATGTTTAAAACGGACAAAACAAACTCAGAATTGCTAAATGACGTGTATATTTTTAGAATAAGTGTTCTTGGATCTTGAAATGCTTTCGCGAAATGCATCATGGTATTGGTGAAAAATCAARATGGCCGATATTTTGGAAACTTTAATAGTCAAGCTTTGTTTCACGGGTTTAATGACCCTACTCTAACAAATAATCGCCCAAGAACCCAGTTCAGGGGTTACTATGAAGTTTTTGAGGAACATCCATGCATTTTCCAAGGACAACTATAACAGCAAAAATGCCGCTAAACCCGTGTGAAATAGATATTGCACTAATACACCTTAGTACGCTCTGATTGCATTGTTTTCTTTTGTGTCTATTTGACTAGCACTGCTTGTTGCATTCGCTTAAAAAAACATTCAGTTTAAGCTTCCGTCAGTCCCATAATGCATCTTACCGGAAATCGCATGACGTCATGATGGTAAAGAAACGTAAGCCATATAAGGTCATTCCAAGGCACATAAGGACTTGAGGACCCCTGCGAGTTGTACGCTCTCGTCACACTTAATCTTTATTGCATATTATAAAATTTCTGAGATATAACGTCATTGGACAATGCAATTTTCAGAGAACATCTATTAGCAGACATCTTCATAATCACAAAAATTACGAGACTTCTTTGACGGGCGTCTCTATATTACGGAAACCTATATCTATATCAAGGATAAGGATACCTCTACATTACGGACACCTCTAWATTACGAACACCTACTTATATATTACKAACACCTCTATATTGAAGACACCATTTCGACCTATATTCAACATACGGAAATCTATAAACGTTAAAAACAAGTGTATAACTCGGACAGCTCGATATTACGGGTACCTCGATATTACGAACACCTCTGTATTGAAGACATTATATGGAAATCTATAACCATTTAAAAAAAAACCTCTAAAACTCGCACACCACTATATTATGGACACCTCTGTATTACGACCACATCTATATTGAAGACACCATACGGAAATCTATAACCATTTAAAACAACTCTAAAACTCGAACACCTCKATATTACGGACACATCTATATTGAAGACACTATACGGAAAACTATAACCATTAGAAACAACTCTATAACTCGAGCACCTCGATATTACGGACACCTCGATATTGCGGACAACATTTCGGACACTTMGATGTRACGAACACCTCTATTTAGATCAGGATTAACTGATTAAAACGCCATAACTTTCATAGCAAAAATAACCCCCACATTACGAACAAATTTATACTAATATTGATATGATCATGGCAGCAGGAGAACAAATTTGTACAAATATAATGTCCCGAGGTGAGAATTGATCTCATAGTGTGTCAACAATTGGCTGTGATTAGAGACACAGGGCTATTGAAATTCACTTTCAATATTGCATCAATTCAAACTCGAAGACAAATAAAAAACTCATCTCTTGAAGTATAAAGGATATAAAATAAATGTCAAAAACTTGTAATTTTAAGTTAAGATAACATTATTTTAGAACGATGGTGATTTCCAGTTCGTTTCAAGTCGCTCTGGTCAACAATACGGCCACATGTTTGAAAAAAACAAAGAGCCTGGCGTTCATTCAAAACAGCTAAAAGATTTTACGCCGTAGAATTACAAAAACGATGGCTTTTTGAGTGGTATTTGCACTCATTTTGCTGCTGTATTTCACAAAAGTGTTTTTATATTGTTGTAATTTGTATTGTGAAAAAAACTGGTCTTTACTTTTTACGAAACGCTTAACTTATTAATGAGTAGCTGGTTACAACACGRAGTGCACCAAGAACATAWGAGCATTATAAGACAACACGAACCAATACTTATAGTCTAATTGCGGTTTATGGCTGAGGAAACTCCATTGGTTTGAAATTACTTATATTGTGTAAATAGTTATAAAAATAACACTAATAAATGTATTGTTTGTATATTTACCTCGAATCTGTGAGCCCTCGTTCTTGCAGCACCTTCCTGGAGAACAAAAACATATGAAAATGGTAAGAAAACTCATCGGCCAAAGCACGAAAAAGCAGAAAACAGTTTTTCTCTTACGTGAAGAACTTCATTGTAAATTTGTGGCGTTTTAGAATGGGCAAAATGTGACCTTTTAGTTCATTATTTGACGAATTCACGGTTAGTCTGTTAGGATATTTTACATAACAATTGTGGTATTTTCCCACTAGTTTACAAATCAACACATTGTGAGACAACTTGGTTCTCTGACTACTTTATTCCTTCTCTGGCATCATGGGTAATACAATGACGTATGAATATATTACAACAATGTCATCGAAAACAAAGAGTATTTTAGTTCTTAACAATGTGCCGTCTATTGAACAACAGAAGTCAAGAAYCCATGAACTCCATAACAGTTCCAGACAAACCTATGAAGTAATCCAGCTTTTAAGCATAAAAGACAAGTCTGTAACACGCTGAACATTCAAAATAGYAAGGAATTCCAAAGTCAATATGAAAATATATGGTAATTTTGTAGTGTCTAGTTACTTTGTTACGTTGTAAAATTTTAATATTTAAAGTTAAATTTAGAGATGAACTCAAAATTCACAGGGTAAAAGTCGAAAACGCCTAAATAAYAACGATTTGTTCATATTAATGATGAGATAMAGTTAATTTTGGGAAATTTGAATTGCGGCTTGTGGGAAATGATAAGGCAGGAGAAACGGCTAGAGGAAATCTTCACTTAAGAGTTTTAATTTAATAGCTAATTCGTTGCATTGATAATATAATATGTAATTATAGTAAAATTTAATAATATTTATGTAATGTATCATATAAAAGTACAAGTTTGTTAAAACTTTTTTTTTAACTGCTTATAAACTATCTATCTAATATATGTAATACAAAGAAGTCATTTGGAAAATATATATCATTGTACCGGGTGCATTATGGGTAATCTATTTTTTGCGCGTTTCACGCTAATCGATCAAATCTTTGGAACTCTAGTTAGGCTGATTCTAACAAATTTATGGCTTAATTGTGACATTTAACCTACTCTACTAGTAGTATGCATGCATTTATGTATTTTTTGCGATACAACGAGCCCACGATGACCGTGTCTGACGCTCCCACAATCGAAAATGTCATAAAAAACTTTATTTATTTTTTCATTTTATTTTTTTAGATAAAAATACACTCTCAAGTGCTGATGACCGTGTTTATAGAAAAGGACTTAGACACAATTTGTCGCTAGCACGCTCGAAAAAGACAAAAAAAAATAAAAATAAAACGGCCGGTGGGAGAATACTCGAGAAAATTTAACGCGCGTGCTGATTTGGCATCTAGTGCCCGCTCTCTATTGGCTTTTGTTTAATTGTTTCAATGAAATAYCGCGCTCTCGGAAAGAAAAATAAGAGGGAAGTATTACATAAAGCATGTAGGTTCCTTTGGCGCATCTGTTCTCTAATATATACACCGAAGACGTCGAAATGTGATGAGAACGACTTCGTCTCGTAGTGAACTTATGCACTAGTCAATTGAAACCCCCGCCCCCCAGTACCCCGTTAGTCCCGAGGGTCATGATTCCTTTGTTCGCTATCTTGGAAGGTTGAAAGGTGAGTCAAARTAAGTATTTCAAAATAAAAAAAAACACGAATGTTTAAGATTTTTTCCATGATATTTTGCCATTATTGCCTTTTTTTCAGTTGAATTGAAAGGTGTTTGTTTTGTTATTTACCTCTAGACCAAAATAGCGGGGCCACAGTAGTGGGGTTTTTTACTTTTAACAGTCAATGTGCCACGACTACCGGGGAAAATGTCGCTATTTCCCGGGGGTCGGGGGTTTCAATTGACTAGTGCATTAGTKTAACTCAAGATATCTTGATGTTATCTTTGTATCTATTATAAATAAAATTTATTGTTAAAATACAATATTAAGTAAAATGGTATAATACTTTTAAAATAATATCAGCAATAGGAATAGTAATATATTTAATAATTATATAAATTACAGCCTTTTGCAAAAATTATGAGAATTGTCTAAATATCTAAATATCATAATATCCATATCCATATATTGTCCGGAACACGCGGGTTTGCTAGAATAATTCATTGTTGACATCGAGAAAATGTTCAGAACTACGGATAAGTCTGTCGCCAAAAAAAACCTAAACTACAATGACAAGGGACTAAGGGCATCGCGCGGGATTACCAATCATGCACTCGATATTATTTCGACAATTCTCATAATTTTTGCAAAAGGCTGTATGAACCTGACAATAACAAAAACAATAAAAATATGATAATGATTAGAGATAATAACCACAATACTAATAATAATAATAACAAAAATAACAGATCTCTTCATAAGTTCTTATCAACATAATATAAAACAGGCCTGCAACAGATCCCATCTGCTGTAAATTAATTTTAGAATCATGGAGGTCACTTAACAACTTAGCACTTTGACCTTTTCATCAAAATGACTTTGTCTTCAATATCAAATCRTTTAACACAATTGTAGACATTGCTTTAAAGGTCATGAAGGTAATTGCTGGTTCATGTACTCCATGAGATTTAAAAGTAACAAAAGACTGACTGACATACTGCACAATAGCTAAAAGAGTACTACAGGTGTACAATACAAAACAGATTATATAATTAAAATATGGCTCCCAGTATTTTGCTTTTTAAAGCCTGATTTTMACTAGGACATAGTTATAGGCATAAACCACGAACAAAAGGAATGACAAAGGAATAGACCATATGAAAAAGKGTGTATMTAACATAATGCCATAATTGTTTTTAAAATACATCATTACCACCCCCGGGGACCAATCAATAACAGATCATTTTGTTTTGGATTCCCGATTTTATTTGCGTTTTTGCACAATCATCAAACACTGCCAGCTTGTATTGAGTTTATGACGATATTGCCACTTTATGACTGCTTAAGGTCGTCGTATAACCTGACAGGGACCTCAAAACTCATTTGGTAGGAATTCTCGTCATTATCACCCTAAGCGGGACCAAAATGCCGATTTCAAACCCTAAAAGGGACATCGAGGACCCCACCCTTTGATACTAGGGAGTCCACCCCCAGGATGCACCCATTGAAAGAACATATTATAATGAGTAAGATCTGAAAGTTTCCAGGCAATCGGCGCGCATGCACTAGGAACGCTTAGTGGATTCAATGAAGGCACCATCCCATCATTCAGCATGCACATGTACAATGTTCTAAAGAAGAATTCGATAGTCTACTGTTCAAAAGGCAACATTTAATCRTTAATCTTAATGTATTTGCCGGTTTGTAACATAAATTTCCACTTCTAATCCTGGATTCGGCCATGCCTCTCCAATGCATTGTTGTCATTTTCCTGGTATTGACCTCAGATCTTGGTGTTAGGGGAATGGGAAATGCATAATGATTACAAATATTATTTTTGACAACTTTAGGACAAAGTTTGCAAGTACAATTACATCAATGGTGGAGCAAGGGGGGATTATCTTTTAGATGTTTTGCCTATGACCCCTCCCTTTTCTTTGGTTCTCTAACTACACCCCTGATTGGATCCAACTGCAGATTGATTTTTGCAGAGCACCAACATGTATAGAGTGTATTTTAATGTATATTTTACAACAATATTTTATGGCTTTTACATAACTACATGTATATCCAATAAAACTCACAAACATGAATCAACCAATGCAGAACCACTCATCCGACTTTCATCATCAGTGAAATCCTCCTCGCTKGCCACRCTTCCTGGTCCTTGTCCTCTCCATACAAATGAGTCTGCAGAACTGAAAGCCAGAGAAAAATTAAGTTAGATGGGCCACTCACTACCGATCGTAACAGGTTTCATGATAGGTTGAGAAAACAATGGATAAGTCTTCAAACAATAAAACTCAGGGCCGTAGCCAGGGTGAATGGACAACCGAGGCAAGCGGCCGCCGATGGCGGGAGAAACTAGGGGGGCATTCTCCCCCTAGAAGATTTGAAATTCAGCCTCTCGGAAATGCAAGTTGCAGTGTTTTGTGGGCCTTTTGGTAACTCTTTATTGAACAGATTTAACCGGAATTCATCATGCAATATTTATGAAACAAAGAAGCTACACGTACAAAAATAACATTATTTTATATTTTTTTGCACAAAATCAGTCGTACGAAATYGGCTCTGAGAGGCTAAGATAATATTAGTAATGAAGAACAAAAAGCATCAGCAAAATTTTACCGAGGCGAGTGCCTCGGTTGGCCTCTTACTAGCTACGGCCCTGAAAACAAAGCCTAACCTAACAATATAGAGCTGCTGTACTTATTAAGCAACAATCAAAAAGCAGGTTTAGATCGGTGCTGTATTACTGACTTAGATTGTATGCTTTCTTCCCTAGCTATCATTGTTTGTAATAGCTGGTTTTCACAGACAAACAGAGATAAGAATGAGCATCAAAAGAGAACAAAACTATGAAAACCTGTGGAACTATTTTCACTAGATTAAAAGCAGGAAACAGTGAACTAATTAAATRGTGCTAAATTGTACTGAATTATGTGTATGTGAATTTCTTTGTTTTCTATTGTCAAATCTACACTATTAAGTAGTACTTGGATAGTAATTTTCACCCTTTYATTGTTASTTAATTAGTTCTAGGACATACGCATAGCAATAAGGAATGAACATAACTTAAGCTTAWGAATGTGATTATGTGGAGTGAAAACACAATTGTAAGATTTGATCTTGAAATGGAAATGGATTGCAAATTAATATTTAAGTCACCTCATTTTCCACATATGAAAAATCTAAACTATGGAATCGAATGCTAGTGGACCATGCACCTCTAAACTTAACCTAAGCTATAGAATTTTTGTTTCACAGATTTTTAATATGTTCTCACAATGTTTTTCTTTCTTTTATTTAGTATTATCAGTCTTTTTTCTCAATAGATAAACGTTTTTTCTTGTATCTTAATAAGAATCTATTTTCTGTTTATGTGTAGTAACTAATCCAAAGTAACTTTCAATCATAGCTGACCCCAAAGCTTAAATCTCGTGATTTGAAAGTCAAAACAAACACGAAATCGCTGGATACCTAACCGCGGCCATTGTTTCTAAACAATGCATTTTTATTTTACCGTGATTTATGTTACGTTTATCAATTGTCACTGCATGTCACGGAACGTCCTACAATATCGATTTAAAATTACTACAAGATGACAACAAAACCTCAGCGAAAAACGCCCGCAATAAACAGACATTTAAACAATCTATTTTTAGCTCTAGAGATGTTTAATTAATAATCATTTTTTTAATATTTGTATCTAAATGAATAATTTCTCGATAAAAAACATGGTGTATATTAAAATTTAACTCAGCAAGCACAACATTTGAATGATAGATGGAAAAAAGTGCGAATGCTCGGGGGAAAAAAACATTTTTTTATACTTTTCGTTTCGAAAGCGYAAAATCGAACGTTTGATCATGTACATAACATTCGATTCCATGCGAGGTAGAACGATTGTAACTTTCAATGGATTCCTTCACAGAGGTTATGACAGAAAAAACTGTTCACAAATTGTACTAACACAGAAAAGTGTCAACGTAATTCTTGAGGCAATTAAGGTTAATCCCACAAAAGCCTCCATGCTTGATGCTATTTGTCTCCAAAAAGCAGATTTGCTCGATGTGGCCATGTTTTCTTAATAAACAATAAGAAAATAAGCTTTAAAGATGCAATGTTTACCAAAGGCAATGAACAGAATCTAGTAATGCCATTAAATGGGTTTTAACCTCGAAAAAGCGTGAGTCTTCATATGCACCGAAGATCAACACTTTGGGGTATTTAGGGTTACTAGAGCGTAGACCCGATCTTCCCATAACAAGCCCTTGAAAAAGAATTCATAATAATCATATCATATGTATCACTTCCAAGCAATTTAATCCAGCCGAGCGTTTTATTATTCTTTAAGGAAAGCTGTGAATTTGGTTGGAAGTTAAAAACTTACAGTGGAGATAATTATATGTTAAGAACTAGTGGTTGACTGACCTTCCAGAACAGACGCTTGCAGTTTCTGAGTTATAATTGCACTGTAAAACAAAACAAAAGTACTACAAATTATAATATCGCAAGCAGCAACGTTTAGGGTATTCAAGCGTTCAAAATGCCATGGGGAAAAATTAGTATTGAAGTTGTGTGGGTTTTTTTGGCAACGGTCAACACGATAAAACGAGCCGAATCAAAACATCACAGGCTCGACTCTGAAGGAAATCTTCAACAACTGAATTTACCCTTTGTAACTGTAATGCAACATTTTTTCTTTCCTCTTCGAGTTCCTTAGTAAGTTGTTGATACTGGTGTTCCTATAAAACATTCAGAAAGCGTCAAAGACGAGCGCGAACTGCATTTCTTACATTCAACATAATGGCGCGAAGCGAACTTCAAACCTTTCTATCAAAATAGCTATCTACGTAATAAATTCTCACTTATTTAACGATGTAAAATTAAACCCAAACGTGCTATATGTCAGAGTATTGCCTAATATGTCTTAAAATGAAGAAYGTGTGATGTTTCACGTCAGTAAAGAGTCAATTCTTACCTGTTGACGAACTGAACGTAGAAGATTCGCTGCGGTGTCTTCACTATACTCTCTCGTATGTGCCATTTTTTCTCAACTTTTTGCCCAAAATAAATCCAAAATATCAGCTCTGAGRGCTTGAAAAATAGGCAAAGTACTAAACTCCCAGTTCCTGAGTCTCAATCTTTGAAGCCCGCTGCATAAATGAGCTTTATATTCGGAAAGGAAACTACGTTTTGATAAAAATATTTAGAAGCCAACACGAGCGGTGAGCTGTAAGGCCTTCCCCGGCCTCATTGTATGAGCTGTCAATCAAAGTGCGTTTCYATGGTGATTCCTTTTATCTCAAAGATTTCTCGAAGCTGAAAACACCGCATACTTTCATGCGAAGAATGGTTTCCGCTTTTAAAGGAAATGCAGGAATTGTTTGAAAGAATAATGATAACCRTAAAAACCGCTTGCTACTTAGCTAAACGCGTTGGGAAAGTTAGTGATCAAAGGGCGTCAAATTTTAGTCCTTGGCGGTAAGCTTATAATTACGTTAAKAAAATCATTTATTTACATAGATCTTAATAATAAAGATGGAAATTAGGTATACACAAGTATTACGGAACTAATAACATCCCAACAAATTGTTAAACAATTGAAAAAGCGCATAATTGCTGTGAAAGGTTTTGTCAATGTACACAGGAAGCCCAATTCAATAATGACCACTTAGTCTCTTCCCATGCCCCCTCCCCTCCCCTCAAAAACGTATTCGTAGTAGTTTAAAGATATTTTTATATTAATTTTGAAAATAATAGCTGCGTAAATTAGGCATGATATATATACCATATAATACTGACGGAACTAGTATAAATGAATTATATAATTACAATTATAGTTTCTATTATAAAATTGTTCATTGGTACGATTGTGTACATAATATTATACAGACAATTTAATTGATAACTGATCAAAGACTAGTGTACTTGACATAGTCAATATATGAARTCATACCTGCTTCTACTATTTATATTCGATTTAATGTACTATAAAACTGTTTATAAAGGAAACTCCTTATAGTACTATATAAGCCTTTCTAATCTAAAAGCCCTAGTATTTGATCAACCTCTACTAATGTGATTCTTACGTGTTATTTCTCAAATCTGTTATTCATAAATACCATTAAGACTCACAAATCTATTGAATCCAATCAAATTCCTGAAAATGGACTATTAATTTAAGGGGGCACTTCATTGAGAACCCCGCTTGTCAGTTCAGACGACAGTTCAATATTGCGCCTCTGTAGAACGCGATCAAATCTGCGCCGTCGTCCATCAAAAATACTATAAATTGATCATCAATCCTTGTTTTTACTGGTTTATTATGGACAATCGAATAAGTAGCATRTAATTGATTGGAGTTTTAGACTAAGAATTAAGTGGTGCGTTCAACACATGTGTAAGGGTAAGACTGGAAATATTCCAGTTCAGCGGTACCTAACTAAAACACACAACAATTCAGTAACTATAAGCATATAATCGTTGCTTACCTTTGGTRGAATCTGGCTTACAAATCTTCGAGACGAGCAAATATATCCTTTTCTTCTCCAARCGAAATTAAAGGAGGTTATCTCAAATCAACGAACAAAAATTCACGTCGAGACTGCATGTACCGATCGCGTTTACAAACGWTTTCTTCGCTACCCTCGATCCTATTAAAACTTGACAGGGAGGGCACAGCGTGATAGCTATTATACCGAGTTCTTAYATACCAAAACTCTATCTCAGTGTGCAGGTATTGAAAAAACTACTGTAATTGATCTTACGATATTTGAAAAGTTCTGATAATGATCTAGAGGGGTCAGTATGTTTTGTGTGACAGTTTAGTAGGTGGAGTATGGTAATTTTTTAATGTGATGACTGACTGAGATGTTTGCTGAAGGTTGGTTGGGGGATTAAAGTGAGCAGTGTACTGGAAATACAAATGAACCTTTGTAGAATGCATACTACCGCTGCTAGTGCTAATTAGTGACTGACGAAGAATAGAACTTAGGGATGTTTAGAGTGATAAAAAGACCCCGCGGAACCGAATCGATATCGGTGATAAATCCTCAGTAATCTTCTCTCCTTCTTTGTTGTCTTTAAAGCTTTAAAGCTTTCTTTTTTTACCAGTTCGGACTTTATTTTTCATTCTACAGCTTACAATCAATCTTAATTCCCATTATTTTCTTTTGTTTTCTTTCTATTCCGCGTCTCCAACCATTCTAGTCGCGACAATTGGTTATTTCAATAATCGTGCAATGCTTGAAGACGTTGTTATCTGAGKAGTTTCGTTGCCTCCCGATGACTCCCGGTCAAGTTTGTTAACGTACCATTTTGTATTCAAAAACTCCTTTGCAGACCTTATCTGCAAGCTTTGTTCGCGCATTGTAAATAAGCCTGAATTCCCTAAATCCTTACCACGCCCTTGCGGGTTAAAGCTTTCTTCGACCTCATTAGCATCGTCAGGGAGACAGGATTCCTGGTCCACTTAGACCCGATAGAGCCCTTTGCCTGATACTTCAGTTTGGTAATCTCCACTATAAGACGAATTTGACTATATTTGGCTTTCTAAAACATGAAAAAAATAAACAAGGAAACAAAACGAACTCTCCCTTACTATTGAAATAACGATTAGTTAAAACTCTGATGACAACATGGAAAACATTAGAAGAGGATAACAATGTTACAGTATTTGGGTATGTTATTAAAACCCTCCTACTAATCCAAAAATAACTTTCGCATCACCACTTTGTAGACGGAGATGAACTCGAGGAATAATTATTTATATTAATATAATAATAATTATTATTATAAAATGATTATTCATATTTCTCTTATTTTCAAAAGAGCATACATTAAACAATTCAAATTTGCATCGGATGATTATTTATTTGTATAACTTGMTAGCTTTATAGGAGTGGTTTTTGTACAATGGGAAAGAAAAAAACACAACAAASGTCATTATAACGCGCTGAAGTTGTGTCAGCGGTGTAAGCATGAAATACATAGACATTTCTAAACGTTAGTAGCAGTGTTTTATGTCTGGATTTATCGGTGACGATCAGCAGACACTAAGACAGATCTCCACTGAAYGTTAACCCCCAAACAAAGCACTGTCGGTCAAAACTATTCAATGAGCACGAGACATAACGTCATAACAATGAATAATATGCTGGAGATATTTTATGTGCCTCATGACTGACCTTAAAGAATCCCAACCAACCACAATGCAGCGCGCACTCGTGTTATTGTTTACATACGTTTAAATGCGTCAAGCATACAATAGATTATAGATTGATAGTGCACCTGTGAGGTACTTAATTAAAGGAATTTGTGTACAAACTGAAAGGATGGAAGACGGTTCCCGCTCACTTTAAGAAATTCTACGAATCCGCCATTTTTGTGTCCAACTAAAATGGCGCTTCAGCATGCAAGGTATATGGCGGTTGGTTGTGMTTCTTTAAATATAAGCGGTTTGGGTCTAGTTGTTTGTCTTCTAATCTGTGAAAACGGTTTATTACTACAGTBAATATATGTCGCTAACGAATTTCAAAAATTGTCGCAAGAACACAATTAGCCGATAACAAAACGAGCAGGGACCTGGGACTGAAAATTTTAAAAGTGCTCCAATCTTACAGAAATCTGTTGTTGATAGATAAAGCACATATAAATTAGCTAAACTTTAAAGTTTGAGCAAGTTTAAGTCATTACAATTGGGAATATAATTTTTCAAAATTTTCAAAAATTACAAAGAATGTATGTTTGGCTGGACACCATACATTTCTTTGTAATTTTGCCATGGTTTGAATGTCCATAACTTTATTGCTATAAGTTCAAACATCATGAAACGTAGTCAGTAAGCCTTTTATAAGGTGCTCTTTCACATGATGGGGTTATTCTTTCTGGAACCATTATTTAATTAGATTTGGAAGTTCATACCCAGTACCTTTTTCGTTTTGTTATCGGCCAATTGAAAACGAAGTCTTTTCCGGGGAAATATACAATCGRGCTTCCGCCAAACTCCGCACAAAAAAACTCGTTTTCAGCGCACGCACTCATTCTGATGACCAATCATAGCGCACGACAGATTGAATACTGTCATCAGTGACTGTGTACTTCATCACAACGCAATAGTTCTCTACCAATTAAAGACCGTGCAATATACCGTCCAATATTACATAAACGGAAATAATAGGCGAGGTTGACAAATATGGCATTTAATGAAAATGAAAATARGTGAGTCAGTGATACAAAGCAAATAAGTTATAATAAATGGATGGATCGGAGTCGTTTATGACTGAAATTGCTTAAAGTATTGCGAGGACGGATTTTCAGTCAAACCTAGTAAAACAAGATAATGATAAATAAAACATTGTGAATGCGGAATATAAACTGACATTTTCAGAAAAAGAAAACTGAAGTTATGCATATTAAACACAAATAGCAATATAAGTAATAAGAACAATAAGCAAAATCAATTTTTCTTATAAAATTTAAYCAGCTTTCTTCTCAACGCCATGCCCAATAGCAACAATCTTCACRTCCTTATCAGATCCACCAAATGACCCAGATGGAGAACCATTATTTCTTGAGGGTTTGATCTTCTCCTTGCTACGTACACCAGACGAAGTATTAGGTCTTGCAGGAGTYGCGTTCTCTTGGCGAGGGGACATAGATGAGGTGCTTAGCATACCATTGGGATCAAACTCAATGGAYGATTTCTTTTGGAGGGCCTCTCGACTTCCGGTTGCACTACCACTTTTTGAGCTCGTAAGGCTAGTTTCTGACCGCGTTTCCTTGGCGGATTGTTGCGAMAGGGCCAACTTGAGTTTAGATCGCCTTACTGCTGACTCTATCACTTTTGGGCTGATCGGTGGACTTGGTTTCAGGGGAGTGACAATAACGCCTATTTATCGCATAAAATAAGCACAGTTACTAAAGCTGAGCTAAACTTCACATTGCACGCTACGTGTGTCTTTTAGTCACTAAATCCATTATACGAAACTGGCATGATTTCGTTATAAAATAGTCACTTTGTTTTGGTCTTGATCTTGTTTATTCACATCACTTCACTACTAAACTCTGTTCGCTCACAATCTCTCGACCTTCTCTTGAGTTGTGTACACACTCTCACCACACCCGCTCTCACTTTACATACGATCTCACTTCCGCTCAAAATTATTACAAAATCACTTCCGGTCACCATCTCGAGCGTTTGAACCACTTTGGATTCATATAGCGTGCTACATGCATCTGGTAATAACTTCCAATGTTGAACAATTTACCATTATAATATCTAAATGCCTGCTTGCATCCCAGAACCTTTGCGCGATCGTTTGCTTTGTTTAGGAAAAGATTTTTTGTGCCTTGAAAATTGCTGTCTGGTTGGTTAAAAAATCAAAGATGTCAATATTTTGAATGTGAGAAAATCGCGCAACGACTCTCGGATGCACATGGTGCTTTACTTTCATTGCAATGCTATGTAAACTGACCTTGCGAAAGATCTTCGTCACCTTGAGTTGCAATGTGATTGCGCGAGCCTGTCAAAATTAATTGGGTTCGCGAATGCCTAGTAGACTTGTTAGATCCAGTTGAATGTTCACTCGGGGTGCGTGATCCCAAGGCTGTGCCTTTAAGCTCAAATGAATGTGATTTCAGCTCAGGAGAACCAAATATTTCTCGATTTACCTTTGGAAGAGAACCTTTTGA